CCGCAGCCCGTGACCGACGAGCTACGTCCGCGCAAAGTCAGGTTGTTTTAAGATGATGAATAATGTCATCGAAGCTACAATTTTGAATAAGAAATTCAAGGGGGAAGATGTAATGTTGTCACGTATTTCAATGATCTCAACAGATATGCCATTTGAATTCAAACGTTTGCAGTTTCCGGTGCGACTCGCTTTTACAATGACCATCAACAAGGCACAGGGACAATCACTGCAAGTGTGTGGCTTAGAATTGGAGAATCCCTGCTTCTCACATGGACAACTATATGTAGCCAGCTCACGCGTTGGAAAACCTTCTGATTTATTCGTGCACGCACCAGACGGAAAAACAAAAAATATCGTGTATCCAGAAGCACTCAAATAAATAAATAGAATTAAAAAGAGAGTTTGAAATATTTGTTGATGAATAAAAATTACACACTGTAAATGAAATTTAATCATAATAAATTAAATTTTATCATAACGAGTTTATTTGAATTTTTTTTCTTCTGAGATCGCAGCAACGCGCGACGGGTAAGCTAGTATATTATATTATAAATAAATTTTATTTTATTTTTGCAGCTACCAAATCATTATTTTAAAGCGGCTGAAGACAAAGTAATAACATTAAATATACTTAATAAAAAATAGATATTAAATGTGTATATTAATACATGAAAATAAACATTAAAGAAGGAACAATAATAAACGATTTATTAGAACCGTATAATATAAATACACAATAAGTAAAAGCTTTACTTATTGTGTATTAAAGAAGAATATTATATTTTCCTTCTTTTAGCTTTTTAGCTTTAATTCAAATAAAGAAATATTGTCAATCCATTTTCATTTTTAGGAAGAAATATCACCTAATTCAGGATTTTTTATTTCCAAGAGAAAAAAAACATTTTTAGAAATGAAGGCACAATTGAATAAAGATTGGAAAATTATGGTGCGTGAAGTAATATTAGACATATATGGTTCAAGTATTGCAAATTATTCGGCTACTGGAAAAAGAACAAATAGACCTACAATTGATCATATGTCATTTAAAGGATTACATGTGTGACGTGACATTTCGTCCGTTACTGTGCGGACTTGTCGACGGCGGACTCGCGCTTCCTACCGGCTCGAAGGGCGAGCGCGTAGGCGAGCGCGCACGCGAGCGCGCGTGCAAACGCACCTGCGAACGTGCGTTAAAATTCGCGTCATTTAATTTACTTGGCAGATTTTATTCTTTTATATTAGCATCTCTTTTGCGTAATGATCAAGCGTATCAGGAAGCGTAGACGCGCCACGGATCACGTCGGCAGCTACCGTGAAATGCAATTGTACCATCGTGCCGTCTCGCCCGCCACCCTTGGAAGGAAGACAGAAGAAGGACCGGATCGTAAGGG